GTAAGAAATTTACCAACTCGATTGCTAATTTAGAAAAGTTAAAAATCTATAAAGCTATTATAGAATACACCAACCTTGGCTAGCTAGTGTAGAAAACCAGTAGTGGGCTCTATTTATCAAGACAAAAGGTTATATGAGTCAAGCAGAAAACCAGTTAGACAGAAAAATGCCAGGTTTGTTTAGAAGACCAGCCAACCAAATTAAAAAAAAAGGACATGTGCTAAGAAATCATGTACTAAAACAAGATAAGAGCAATAGGCACCTAAAGCTAAGTCAAGATCAAACCTTTTAAATTGTTGGTTTAGACTAATAAGAAAATAATAGAAAAAAGAAAAGTCTGGATATAGGTACTGGGATTGGGATATAACCTTATAAAGGCAAAAGTGATTAAATAGGTAAAAAACTAACTGCAAGTGGAAGTCTTAATAACTGCACAAAACCAGATTGGCCCAAATAGGATAAAGAAAGCTCTGGTAGATTTATCTTGAAGATAGCTATATATCTACTTAATAGAGAAATACAAGCTGGTAATTAGTTGGTGCAAACTCATAATAAGTCATAGAAGTTCTAAGACAGTATATACAATTTAGCAAAATAGCCAGATAGTAGTTTTTAAGTTAGTAAAATATGCTTAAAAATGGTTAGAACTAAAAGGTTTAAATAGATAACTCTCTAGTTGGGTTATAAGTACAATATCTAGTGTAGAACCTGCAGGCGGACTATTTAAATAGGTACTCAAAAGATGTATATGTAGCTAGTTGTATCTTTGTTGTAACTATAATAGCAAAATGATTACTAATAAAAAGTTCTTATGGCCAAAGAGGTTACTTTAATACCAAAAAAAATATAATAATAAAGTCTTAAATATGTATGAATTAATTATTATAAGATATAAAAATAGTTTTACTTAGCTAATAATCAGGATATCTGGTTTATTTCAATTTGGGCAATGTTATTTATCAACTGATTTTTTTTTATCAAAGATATACTTTCTTTTTTTCTTTTTATTATATATTTGATTAGGTCTTTATATATAATTTTAACTTTTTTTACTCTCTTCCCTCTAAAAAATTATCTGATTTTGTTACTTTTCTTTATATGATATTATAAGCATTTAATAAATTGTCAATTATAATATTAATATATATTAAAAATACTATAGTAACTATATACTAAACTTTATAATATTCATTAGCAAAAAAAAATATATATAAACTTTTGTAAGTTTTTATACAAAGATAATATTACAAAAAATTTATAATTATTATATAAGTGTATTAATTTCAAAAGTTTATACAATATTAACTTTAAGTATTTCATATAGTAATTATTATAAAAATTTATACATAATAAATTTAAAATATAACAAAATATATTAAGTTAAAAATTTTTAAAAACTTTTGCAAAATTTCAAGATATTACAAATAAATAAAATATGAAAACATGTATAAATATATATTATAATTTAAAAAAATATAGAAATTAAAAATTTTATTCAAACTCTTCTCAACAATTTCTCAGATCAACTTTTCAAAACAAAACTTTTAACAAAAATAGTAGAACTATGATAGAAAAGAAGAATATAAGACTAATGAGAACTATAAACTGGTACCTATTGTTTAAAAATAGTTCTCATATGCTATCTGCTAATAGGTTTAGAGCTTATCACTTACTATAGAGATGATACTTGTTATTTAGAAGTAGTTTTTATATGCTACTTGCTAACAAGTTTAAAGTTTATTACTTATTGAAAAGAATATCAGCAGTGCGCTCAGATCTACTTGTCTTACTATTTTTAAAAAAATATATACTCTTCTTAAAAAAAAGAACAAGGCCTATATTTTTCATAATTATCCACTTGCTTTTTCAACAAAATTTTTATAAAAAGTGGGCAAAACAGTTTACTCCCATCAAAAGATCGCTATTGTTTACTCTTTTCAAATTTGGATGAACCAGTAGATTGCAACAACATGTGTTGTTAGGTAAACAAACATGTTACTACTCTACGTGACTCATCAAGGACCAAGTGTTGCATGACAACTGAAGGCAGGCATATAGTTAGGAAATAGTTGTACTTTTGGTTTCAATTTGCATTTAGAGATATAGAAATATTGCATTTGCTATATAATTTTTTCTTAAGCCTGGCATGGGTTATAATAGTGCAATCTGTATATAGATTTTTTTATTTTTTGCCTTCTGCTACTTGTATAAAACAGTATTCTCTTTCTTTGTTAATCTGTTTTGGGCTTGACTTTTTGTATTCTTTTTTTTTATAGTCTCTGGTTCACTTTTTTTTCCTTATATTTTTACCTTTTCTTTTTGTTTGACTTTTGTTTTTCTTTTATAATACTTTGTTTTCTTCATAATATATATTCTGTATATTTAATACAGAATTTTTTTTTTCTTTTGCTCTTAGTAGAAAAAGGAATCAAAGGGTTTAAGCTTGAGATGGGCTGACAGAGTCTTTCAAGTCTTTGGATTTTGGTGTGACAGATCGCAGCTAGACATGTTTTGCGCAGCCGGGTAATAACAGGTTTGCAATTTTAAATATATAGTCTAGTTTCAAAAGAAGGATTTATTCTCTATAAAATTATTATAATAAATTTGTATTTGAACTTCAGCAAGATCGTCAAAAGATTTTTTTTTTTAAAAAAAAAATAAATTTTATTTAAAATAAATATACTTAATATAAGTGTATAATGACTTAGTGAAGTGGTGAAGTTGTTATACTCTCAGATAACAGGTCTAAAGTTTGAATTCCATAGACCACATTTTTAAAAAATAGTTTTGTGATATGGTTAATAGCTATCACTATTAGTTGGATTCTAATCTATAACCTTGGTTATACTATCTAAAATGTGAGCTTTAGTATAATAAAATTTAAAGAACCAGAATAACTAAAAACCTGTTTAGCAAGTCCCAAGTTGGAAGATAGCATGATCTTTGATAGTGCTATAGGAAGACTAAATTTGGAACTAGAAACTAAGACTAGAGAACCAAGTGACTAGATCCTTTAGTAGAGTGATATACTAGCCAAACCACTGGGTTACCAAGCTGGAGGAAAAGTATATATTTTCTGAAAGCAGGTACCAAGAGGAAAGAGTTCATAAGACACTTAGAACCTAGGCAAACTAACTCTTCTAGGTTGCTAGCTAAAAGTAAGAAAAAGACTAGTAAAGAATTTGAGGAAAAAAAAAAGTTCAAATGTGTGTACTGGGGCTGTGTAAACTTTACAAGAGCAAGAAGTAAGTAATGATAGAAGTGAATAACTCCCAAGTATATAGGTAAAGCTATGGTGTAAGTTACTGAAAGTCTAGATAGTGCTGTATGTGGGACATATACTAATCTAGCAGGATTTGTCTCTGAGGATAAATTAGTTCTAAGGTTGTATATAAGTTGTTATTAGGGATTCTCTACTTGTAGAAGTAGAAAATATAATCAAAAGGTTTAAATAGATAAATTCATAGTTTGGGTTGCAGATATAACAGCTAGTATAGAACCCTTGGGTGGACTACTTAAATTAGGTACCAAAAGTCATAGGCAGAAATTTGTCTAATTGGTTAATTTCTGTAGATCTACCCATGATTATTAGCCAATCAAATTTATAGTTTTATTACAATATTGGTATTAATTATTAACAAAAAACTGCAATAAAATGAAAGCCTTATACGCAGGAAGAAAATGCATAATCAAAAATATACAGTATATATTCGAAAAATACAGTATGCTATAAATGTATAAAAGAAAATATAATAAAGCGATTATTACTTTAACAAGCTTAAACACTCTATATTTCACTATATATAAACCAAGATCTTTAACAAAACTTAATACGTTTCAAGAACTAATCTAACTTAAAGCCTATCTTATACATTATATTAGACTTCTTTATTAAAAACCTTGTTTTGTCTAAAAACCCAACTAAGATCTTTTAATCTTAAAAAAAGAAAACGTATGCGCAGATTTTTGGATTTACTGTTTATTTTGACGCACCCCAAATTTTAGTTACATAACATGCAGATGCGTCAGTCAGTTGATAACCAATAAAATTTAGAATAAAATTTATATACATTACTAACACTAAAACTATACTTCTCTAACATGCGCATTATACTCAAAGGTGACGATATTGTTAAATACCTTTTTTTTTTAGCTAGCATATTACACCAGAGCTTGATTTCTTATTAAAGTTTCGTCAGCATTCACCCTTCATCTTTTTCATTTTTAGGTTACACTTTTGTCAGAAGGATTTTGGTTCTTCCAAAGTTGCGCCTTTTGCCTTTTGCTGGTTAGTTTTGGGTTTCGCCTTTTATCAAGTTAAAAAGTTTACAGCTAAAAAAACTCTTAATGAAACCAGAAAATACTATAGTACTTCATGCTTGATGCAAAACGTGGGGTCTTTAAAAAGTGGGAATTTTTTTCAAATTTCTAACTGATTATTTATAAATGCGAAGTATATATATTTAAAATCTTTCTTACAACACTGATCCATTACAGCATAATATATCTGGATCTTTTATAACCTGGATCTTTTAGTTAGTACACTACGGTAATTCGTGACCTAGTGATCAAAACTGAGCAATTTATAGCCGTTAGATCCTTAATATTGTAAATGAATAATGCATGGATTGTTCAATTTTGCACACTAGGTTATTCATATTAATGTAAACAATTTTAGTGCAATAATACTATTCTTTATATATGAATGCTGCTAGTAAATTTTTATGGTATTCTAATAGTGGTGTCAAGTTTTTTAATGTAATAAATTTAGATTTACGAGGTGGCACTGATTTTTTAAAATAAAATGGTATAAAATAAAAATCACATTAAAGTATAATTTAAAATGTGAAAGTGATAATTTTATAGATTGTAGCAAAAAAAAAAAAAAAAACTTGCAATTTAGCTCAATACTCTAGGAATATTTTAATTCGAAGTAGTAATATTTGGACAATGTAAGTATTCTCAGGTATCACATTTCAGAGACAGGATGAATGTATTTGTCATTTTTTGGCAAGTGTTATGTAAAAAGAGAATGTTCTTTTTAATCCTAACTTTATTCTTATAACAACGGCTAGCTTCTCATCTTTTTCAACTCTGAGCCCATGATGATCAACTATATTCGCTCTAAAAGCGTAACCATCTTGAGAAATTTTTATTTTATTTTCATCTTTTTTAATTATAAATTTATTTCGATAGCAGGTACTAGCTTGAAACGTTCCATTAGAATTCCCCATGTCAGCAGACTTTTTATAAGAAACAAATAGCTTATGTTTGTCCTTTTTACTTCGAATAGACCATTTTGTGTGAGATAAAAAAAATAATGATATTCTCAGATATATAATCCGATAAATCTTCTGCATCTACTCTTGTAAGGTAACGTGTTAAATTAATGCATTAAATTTGAAGTAATGAGTGTTCACCGTGATAAATAGTTTATAAAGAATCAAAACATACATTCGATATGAAATATTTGCTAAAAAAAAAAAAAAAAAAAATCAGGATCTTAAATAAATGAATCATATGATTTGAATTAGCGATAATTTTGTACGAGCAAATACCGCAATGTACCGCCTTTAGCATCCAGATCTTATTAAAAAGCTAGAGTATTGGATCAAGAAATATTCGCATATAATATCTAATAATATTAACTTCGGTCTTATAATAATATTTACAAGATTTTTTCTTATTAGTTCCTTTGATGGCTTTTACAATTATTGGCCCGTATATCTAAAAAAAAATAAAAAAATTTAATTATTTGCTATCCGATCTTAAGCACTGGTGAATACTAAAATTTTGAATAAACACAGTCTCACTTACAACACTATTTGATATGAAAAAAAAAGCGAATGACTAAATAACACATAAGCAAGAATGATATCTAAATCTTGGTCTGAATATGGATCGTATATTCTATAATATAGAATTTCATTAGAGAAGAGATAGTTGGATGCAGCTTTTAAAATTTAAATTTATGTTAAAGTATTTATCTGATGTCCTCAAATTGAGAACATAATTCATCAAAAATTGTATAGCATTCTCAGAAGACACTAAGAACATCAAACTTTAAACACTGGTAATATGGATTAAAAGGTTAATTGCAGTTTATATTGCAAAATATTAGCAATTTCCTTTTCGTAACTATATGATTTTTACTTGTCAAAAACTTTCAGCATTCTATCACTATATGAAAGTAATAATAACTTTCTGCCGATTTTTATAGAGTTTATGCCATTTGACTGCGATTTACCTCTTAACATAATTGAACAATAAAGATCCTTTTTAAAAGATAATATACTTAGATCACCTTTATAAGTGTAAAATATTGGCAAACTATTTTTAACTAACTCATGAAAAATAGAATTGGTATTTTAGTCCTTCATAAGCAAAAATTAAAATTGCATAATCTTTTTTCACCTTCAAGTTATAGATGTTTAGTAAGAAAGGGAAGTTGAATGATTATTCTAAACATACTTCTATTATACCGGTTATAATCGCTATATATATCATAAATACAAATACGTAATTCATGTTTCATGTGAAATTTTAACCATCGTTATTAATTGAATCACACAAGAAATGTGTAACAAATATAAAAAATTTTTTTATATATACCGTATCAGGCATATACAAGTTTTTAATTTGAAATACTATAAAATGTCAGAAAGCGTAACAAGAAAAAAACCTGAAAGAACGATAGATCATAATTATCCACATGATAACTTAGTTTTTTGGAAAAGCAAAAATGGCAACTACAATTATACAATCACAAATTTAGGTACACTTCCCTTAAAGCTGAATCTTAAATATACACAATATCCGGGATCATATCCTATTCCTAACAACTATAAAGTAGAAGTTTTTTGGG